CCCAAATCCAACCACGACAGCGACTCTAAACTCCGACAGAAATAAATTACGTACCATTTTTTTACATACATACGACGCTAATCTGCAAAAAACAAAAGCTAGATTTTATGCACTAGGTAAGAAAGCAAACTCGCTCCTTAGCAAGACTATCAGACAAAAACGACTGAAAACCAAAATATCCACAATCCAACGTCCTACGTTACATGACACCCTGACAAACCCACAAGACATTGCCAATGCTTTTGCGGCCTACTACCAGACACTTTATAACTTGAAAGATGACGCTGATACAATCCAACCAACAACACAATCAATCGAACATTTTTTGAGTAGTACTAATCTTCCATGCATGACTCAGGCCCAACTTGCTAATCTATTTCTGTACCGATTGCCCCTCCTGAGATAGAGAAAATCATATGTACCCTCCCACTGAACAAGTCCCCAGGGAATGATGGTTTCACCAATGAATATTATAAAGCACTTGCTCCCAACCTTACTCCGCACCTAGCACTCCTATACAACCATGCAGCTACTTATGGAGAATTTCCCCAAGAAATGCTACAATCGATAATTACCACCATTCCGAAACCTGGCACAGACCCCCAATTGGTACAAAATTACAGACCAATCTCACTTCTCAACACAGACATAAAGATTTATGCTAAAATAATAGCTCTGAGACTACTCCCCTACCTACCGACTCTAATTCATCCAGACCAAGTAGGGTTTATTCCTGGTAGACAGGCCCCTGACGCCACTAGACGAATCTTATCCCTGATACACCACCTTGAATTAAACCCCCAACCCTCGCTTCTATTATCGCTCGATGCAGAAAAGGCATTTGACCGAATCCACTGGCAATTTATGACACGCATACACTACAAAAATTTGGGATATCTGGTTGGATGTTATCGGCCATATTGTCCCTTTACTCTAGACCCTCAGCCAGAGTGCTAACTAATGGTACGTTATCTCATCCTTTTTCCATTTCTAACGGAACTAGACAAGGTTGCCCTTTATCCCCCATAATTTTTGCTCTTCTTATTGAACCACTGGCAACCAACCTTAGAAACGACCCTAAATTTACGGGATTTAAATTCCTAAAATCAGAACACAAGATCAGCCTATTTGCGGATGACATTATCCTAATGGTCACCAACCCATATAAATCCCTTAACGCGATACGAATACAAATCCAAAACTACACATCTGTATCTTACTATAAGCTCAATGAACCAAAATCTTCCATACTGAATCTACATATACCTGAAAACAGCCAAAATCTCATCTCTAAGCATTTCCCCTTTCATTGGGAAAAAGTTAGCATTCCATACCTAGGAATCAGACTCACTACAAGGACTAGCCAACTATACAATGCTAACTTTATACCATTACTTGAATCTATCCCACAAGAAATTAAAGGTCTACGCACCACTACCCTCTCGACGTTAGGCAGAACGGCGACAATCAAAATGTGTATTTTACCCAAGATACTCTATATCTTTAGAACACTCCCTATTCCAGTGCCCCGTATCTTTTTCACAAAACTCCAGACAATTCTGAACCGGTTCCTATGGAACTCAAAAAAACCTAGATGTGTCACGAATCTTTTAATCCGTCCTCCCTCCAGAGGCGGAGCGGGTCTCCCACATGTGAAGTCATACTATCTTGCTGCAATACTTGACCAGCTCTTCTTCTGGAGACAACCCACAATTAGCAAGACCTGGACTGTTATGGAAACCTCCCTATTCCTACCGCACACCTTGTCCGACTTACTATGCATACCCCGCGGGTACAACCTACAAACCCGCAATATAACCCCTGCATACGAGCTTCCCTAGCAGCTTGGGAGGACTTTCTTACTCATACCAAATTACGAACAGACAACCTCCACATTACCACTCCGCTCTCAGCTCTACACTCCCTTTCTCCTCACTTAAACCTAAACCTATGGATAGAACATGGATTACTCCATATACAAGACCTATATACTAACAACAAATTTCACTCCTTTCAAGCCATTCGGGACAAATACCGAATCCCGGCAACTGAATATTTTACCTATATACGTTTAACCCATGCCCTCTGTAAGGCACATGTACCATTTAACATAAAAAAAATCCCTGCGACAGCACACCACTTCTTTCAAAAATCTACTTATCCAAAAAAAGGTATATCAACTTTTTACACAATGCTAGTTGACTCGCAGTTTACCACATATACATCATCCCTAGCAAACTGGGAAAACATAACTCAACAACCGATATCCCCCTCCACCTGGGAGAGAATTTTCACCATTACTTTCAAAGCCTCAAAGTGCAGCTCGCATTGGGAATCATACCTGAAAATACTCCATCAATGGTACTTAACACCAGTCAAGCTGTCTTTGTTTTATCCCCAACATTCCCAAACCTGCTGGAGACATTGTGGAGAAAGGGGCTCCCTTTTCCATTTGATGTGGGCGTGCAAATCCCTCACTTCCTATTGGAACCAGGTTTTCCAATTACTATCCTCGATAGTGAAAACCCCAATTTACCCAAACCCTGCTTTAGCGCTCCTTCACATTGGCATAGACAAAATTCCTCTAGCTTCACGTACTATTACCATTCACGTCTTGTCTGCTGCAAAAATAAATATCACCAGGTTGTGGCGTTCTATTGACATTCCTTCTATGACCCGACTACTGACCGACCTCAACTTCCTTTGCGAGATGGAGAGAAGAACGGCGCTCCACAATTCCTCGTATCATAAATTTGAGACCCAGTGGACTCGATGGATACAAAATCCCAAATGTTCCATAAAATGATTTTATAGCTCTCTTCCATACTACATGACTTTGACGACTCGGTGCCATTACCTTCCACTCCCCCCCCCCTCCCCCTTCTCTACCCCCTTCACTCCCCCCTTATTATACCTCCTAAAGTTCCAATTGGTTCACAAAAGGTAGCATACCTCTCATGTAACTAAAGCAAGACTCTGCATTGTGCCTCGACCGGATGGTGAGGTGCCGTCAACTAACCCTTTTTATGCATATTTTCTATGTATTAATGTGAACCTCTTTATATCATAGTTCTCAGTTTGTTTGTTTGTTTCAAAAATTTCTAATAAAGATTATTGAAAATAAAATAGGATCGTGCAGCGCTTAAAACAGGTATATATATACAGACAGTAGTGTAGTAGGTATTGAAAAACTTTATTGTTGATGCATCAAAACGATTTTTCAATACCTACTACACTATGGGAGTATTCCTGTTTCCACCCCCTGGGGGAGTGCTTTAGACCCACAGATCCACCATCCCAGGACAGGCTGCTATACTTCACGGATACTTGGTGATACTATCCCGGGAAGGAACAAGGATATCCCAGTGCTTTGTACACCACCTGATGACCCATCCCTTAGAGGGAAGAACTTCCAGCTTCAGGCCCCAGTAGATGACATCTGGATTGATTATATAAAGCGCTATTAATATGCGCGTCCGGTGAGTGCGCATTACTTACACCATTACAGCACCTTTTGCCGGACCAAGATTCACTAAGTCACCTTAGTGGAACTCTCTATAATTTTATATTTTTTTATATATTTTTTATTTTGATGATTTATTTCCTCTAATTGGGTTATATATTAGTTGTTTTTACTCTCTGTGTGTATATATATATATATATATATATATACCTGTTTTAAGCGCTGCACGATCCTATTTTAGATACTGTAAATATTTTATGCCATTTTGCCTAGATACTTGTGTGCCTGCTTTTCATAATGCCATAGGTGTGCTTCAAACCTCGGCTAGGTCCTCCCTGTTTGGTACAATTCCATATTAAATATAAGAGACACAGATTTTTTCAGGTTATTACAAGAATCGAAAATTAGTGCTAAGACAAAATGATATGCTTCCTAACATGTAGTTTCGTACCAAGAGTATAGCATTGTTTAATGTACATGGAATGCTGAATACTTAGTGCCACACAAACACAAGGGCTGACAGTCTTTTGTAGGGCAGATCATAAAATAATGTAAAAGGAGAGCGCATAGAAATTTAGGGAAAGAACTCTAAGCCTAAGCCCTGGTTCACACTGAATGCGGTTTTGAAATTGCGCTACTTCACATGAAGTAGCGAAATTTCAAAACCACTAATCAGTAAGATTTTTTATGTGGAGCTGCCTGACATCTGTGTGACTTCATGCACAGATGTCTATGCAAGTCGCATATGAAATCACCAAAAACAGTGGATAAACTTTTTTCAAAATCGGTGCTGCACCGCAAAGTCGAAGTCGCGTTTGAACAGTTGCATCAGCACAGACAGGTTGCGACTTGTCATGAGATTTTGAACTGTCAAATTGCATGACAAATTGCATTGATGTGAACAGGCGCTTGATGTGTTTTTTTAATTACATAAAAGTAGTATCTGTATGTTGCATTTACGCAAAGTAATGTAGCAAGAGTATCCATATGCCATGCACATTAAAAATAAAGTTTTTTTGTTCACCTATAAACAATTACCAAACCCTGTAGCATCCTGAAGCATACAATGTACAGTGCAAGGAACTGTAAAGGGGGGGGTGATAAAAAGGTAAGGTTGATTAAAAAAAAATGTCAGCAATTTAGGAGAGGGATAAAGGTGAATTTGATGAACAATAATTTCTTTTTTTTTTTCAGGAATTCAGTGGAATAACCTTTGCCTGCAAGAAGCTGAATCAATGTCATTTTTGTGGATTTGTGGAATGATTCCTATAGATTCAATTATGTACTTTGCTTTTGGATGGTATATAGGTAACATAAGGCCTGGTAAGAGTCTGAAAACTTTTTAAAACTAGTCAACATTTCACATTTAACCCTACCGCCTCAAAAGATTATTCACCCAAGTAATGGACACCATCTCAACACTACATATCGTATTTTTCGCTCCATAAGACGCACCTGACCATAAGACGCGCCTAGGTTTTAGAGGAGAAAAACAAGAAAAAAAATATTCTGAACCAATGGACTGCAGACACAGTACAGGAGACTGACAGAGACTGCAGACACAGTACAGGAGATGACCAGAGACTGCGGACACAGTACAGGGGATGACCAGAGACTGCGGACATAGTACAGGGATACCAGAGACTGCGGACACAGTACAGGGGATGACCAGAGACTGCAGACACATAGTACAAGGGATGACCAGAGACTGCGGACACAGTACAGGGGATGACCAGAGACTGCGGACACAGTACAGGGGATGACCAGAGACTGCGGACACAGGACAGGAGATGACCAGAGACTGTGGACACAGTACAGGGGATGACCAGAGACTGCGGACACAGGACAGGAGATGGCCAGAGACTGCGGACACAGTACAGGAGATGGCCAGAGACTGCGGACACAGTGCAGGAGATGACCAGAGACTGCGGACACAGTACAGGAGATGACCAGAGACTGCGACACAGTGCAGGAGATGACCAGAGACTGCGGATACAGTACAGGAGATGACCAGAGACTGCGGACATAGTACAGGAGATGACCATAGACTGCGGACACAGTACAGGAGATGACCAGAGACTGCGGACATAGTACAGGAGATGACCAGAGACTGCGGACACAGTACAGGGAATGACTAGAGACTGTGGACATAGTACAGAAGACCAGAGACTGCAGACAGTGCAGGGGATGACCAGAGACTGCGGACAGTAAAGGAGATTACCAGAGACTGCGGACCTTTGGGGAAGGAGGGGGAGCGGTTACCTGAATTTGACAGGTACCCGCTCCCACTTCTGCTGAGTTGTCCTTCCCTCTTCTTCCCCTGGCAGCTTCTGTGACAGCCGGGTGCCCACTGCGCATGCGCGAGAAGCGCTGAGCTTTGTGAACGGCCTGGAGCCTTCTGGGACTTGTCATGTGTACCAGAAGACACCGGACCATTCACAAAGCGTGGCGCTTCTCGCGCATGCGCAGTGGGCACTTGGCTGTCACAGAAGCCGGCGCGGGAAGACTGCAGCGCTGGAGCGAGGAACTGGTAAGGTCCTGCAGGAGAGAAGAGCTGAGCGGCCGGCCCGGTATTCTGACATGGTGGCGGCAGAAATACCGGACCGGCCGCTTTACATTCGCTCCATAAGAGGCACTGACATTTTCCCCCCTTTTTTGGGGGACAAAAGTGCGTCTTATGGAGCGAAAAATACGGTACTTAAAATACTTGTACATTTGACTAGCTGCCACTACTACCCCTGCACTTTTGTGACTGCTTTTGTTGTTTACCAGCTGACAAATATAGACCAAAACTTGGCCTAACATAACAATGAATGTAGGACTAAGTATAATGAGGAGAAATTAAGACATACGGTATGTATAGAGAGAGGATTTTTATTATTGTTTAATATTTCTTAATATACTCCCTAGGACCTGATGTTCAGAAAATGCCTTGGAATTTCCCATTTACAGTTATCTACTGGAAGCAACTTTTTGGGGCTCAGTGCAAGCGGAGTGAAAATCTGGATAGAAATAAAGGAAAAGATCAACACAATGAAGGTAAGTAGTATTGCAAGAGTTTCAACAAAATTATCTTTTTTAAGTTTAGCATATAATAGAAATTTCCAGTTTAAAAAATAGTGTAAATATATTCTTTATATGTCAGGTGATCCCCTACATCATTATCATGTATCATTTACAGTGTTTGATAGATCTGGAAATTTTTCTTTTTGGGTGTCACTGGTTGTTACAGAAAAATAAACTGTTTGGTAGTATTGCATTACAACATTTTCAATTCTTAGTCCCAGTAAAATCTTGGGAAGGACCACTGCATGGTTCTAGAAACTAGCCTTCAAACCTCAGATATGGTTAATAATTTTGTGTTGTAGTATTTTACATGAAAAATGTAGATTAAGTATGTTAAAGCAGTTTTAGATTATTTTAACATCTCTATATCATGATTTCTATACATATATAAAAAAAAACATGCAAAATATGTGCAACTGATCTATTCTGAGTTTATATTGTTGATATCTGTGAAAGACATTAGGTTTACTCCTCTGTAACTACTCTTTGGTATTTATCTTAACAGAATCTATGCATCAAAGACAAAACAAGTGTTTGCCTTTCATAGAAAATGGAGTATCTTTAGTTTCTGTCAGCAAAGTATATTCAAACAACCTGACAGCAGTAAATGATCTGAGCTTCAACTTTTACAACAATGAAATTACTTCAATCCTGGGTTCTAATGGTGCTGGAAAAACAACTATTCTGTAAGTTTACCTCATCACCAATAGTGAATTGTTATATTACATTATGCATACACCTCCCCACCAGGGGCGGACTGACCATTTGGAAACTTGGGCACCGCCCGGGGGCCCAGGGTCAGTAGGGGGCCCCATGAGATGCCCCTGGTACCTTTTTCATAGGCTTTTTTGAGTTTGGGCAAGGACACAGGGGCCCCATGATCCCCTATTGCCCAGGGGCCCCATGAGTTGTCAGTCCGCCCCTGCTCCCCACACTATGGTTGTTTTACTAAAGAGAAATAGGCTGTTCACTTGCAAACAATTTTTAATTTGAAAAGGAATTTACTCTTTGGTTAGTAAATGTGATGAAAATTCACAAGCTAAGGGAATATTCTATGCATAGAGAACACACTGTTTGCCTTTAGTAAATCAGCCCCAATATGTATTGCTCATGTATCAGAATATAAACACTCCGTTAAAATGTCACTTTACCTTTTTAGGATGTACCCGTAAGGGACCGCCCGGCGGTACCACTAGCACTCCACTGAATAGACGTCCCCAGCGCACAGGATTTAAGTCCCAGAGTGCTTGTTCACCAGGGCCCCTGATGGTGGGGATGGACTTGGAGCACCCCGAGACCACGTCGTGGCTACTGGGTACGTCCGTCAGTGGTAGTGGTATGCGCTGAGGGCTCCCACGGGAAAGAGTCTGTTATGAGGAGGTCTGAAGACCCCACTGCGAGGGATGGATGGATGAGCAAGGTCAGACAGGCCGGGTCGGTAACAGAGAGGACGGTATGGTACAAGGCAGTGGGCAGAGAATAGTCGGGTCACACGCCAGGTCAGCAACAGCAGGTCAAATCCAATAGGGGGCATCCAGGAGAGAGGTCAGGCAAAGCAAGGGTCAGGACAGGAGAATATAGCAAGGTCAGGTACAATCCGGGTCAAAAACTTACAGGGCACAGGTTCGCAGGATACAGGATGCAGGTAAGACCAGAAGGCACTGAATGACAGCTCAGGGCCATTTAAATATCCCGCCCTGCGCTGCCATTGGTGCCCAGCGGGCGGCCGCGGCTTCTACTGCGCATGCGCGAACTCGAACGACGCGGCCGGCCCCCGACCTAGTGCCCGTGTCCCTGCACAGGGCGGCGCACTGCTCCTGCGCCGGGACCATCGCTGCGGGGATCGAGGAAATCCCTGACAGTACTCTTTACTTTGTGATCAGTTTTTATTAGTCTCCCTCAGCTGACAATAGAATGCAATTTTTCAGGAGAAAAAAGTTTTCCCATCACCACAAGTCAAGTCAAGTCTAGATATACAAACTATTCTTGGTGGGGTGGGGGTCACTGACTCCAGGTCTATTTTTGCATAAATTAGATGATAGGTGCTACTAGATCATACAAGAGTTGTAATACATTTAATTTTTTTATATATCTTCTTTACACTTACAGTAAATTGGTTCTGCTGTATGATTAAGGGACATTTATAGAGCAGTGGTTATGACATTTACCACATATTCACCACTGGTGACTATTCCAGGTGCATGTGTTTTAAATGAGTAATTGTTGAACCGTCGGTGAATGTTTGCTGAAAGGCTCATTCACTGCTTTATAAATATTCCCACAGTTAATGTCAGGAAATATGTTTAAATTTGAAAGTTCCCTGATATCTATTTAAATATTATCGATACTGGAATAAATATTTTATCAAAGAAGTGTGGCTTTCCGTTATACATTTTTTCTGTCACTATTACTTATTAAAGTGCACTCTGTTACTATCATGTTTTTTACATCGAATGACTAATTTGCATTTTGTTTTAGTTTTTTTCTTCCTGTTTTGTTATGTTGAATTAATACAACAATAAATAAAATATAAAAGAAGGACCATTTATTTTAATTAGAACAGCATACAGAATGCACAGTAATTTATCCCATTTGCTCTCTCTTCTTATTTTTTTCTCTCCCCCTCCTACTTCTGCCATCACTACTTTTTGTCCTGTATATTGCTAGTTTGGCCTTAAAAAACTCTTTTGTCTCCTTTTGTATATGGGGGATGGGGAAGATAAGAATCTCTGTTAAGTTTTTATTGCTTTGTGTTGAGGAAATCTAATCTCGCTATTTGCATTGGGCAAAATTGTCACCAGAAGAGAAAATGAGTGTGGGAACCCAAATCTTACAGTTATCACTGAAAACAGAAATAGATGGGATACAGTTCAGTGAGGACACTCATTCTGGTGACAGAGAATTTCTTTTAATTTTTAGGGATATTTCCTGTTGTGTCTTGCAGGGGAAATTTCAGTAAGGGACACAGAGGGGAGTAAAACATAATAGTAGCTTTTTACCTTATCTATGCTATCCAAAACAACAGCATTTTGGGAGCATTTCATCGCTGCTGCTCTTACTTGCAAACTGATTTTCTTCCTGTCCTGATCCCTCTCTTGGTTATTTACCTCCAATCTCCTTGTGTCACTGCATTGATTAGTAGGTCTCCATCAACCTCACTTCAGTCTTTTGGATAGAGCTGTCGCTACCCAAGTTCTTGTGGCAGAATGGTTCTAGGGTTTTACTCCAATCTGTTCACTGTTCCCAACCCCAAAGGGGGCATGCATCCCATTTTACATTTCAAAGCTCTGAGTGTCTTACAAATCTAAAAATTCTATATGGAATCTACCAAATCTGCTATTGTTCCCCCTCACCAGAAAGACTTTTTTAGCTTCTATGAAAATCAAAGATACCTATATTTTGACATCTTTCCAGCACATCAGCAATTCCTATGCTGTGCTGTGGGGCCACTACACTACCTGTTTGTAGACCTGCCCATCGGCTTTTCATCTGCACCTTAAGTTTTCACCAAGGTGCTGGTCTCAATACTAACCCATTTGCACTCCTTTGACATCCCCATTGTTGGACAATTAGACAACCGCCTGTTAAGGGAACAGTCAGCAAGGGCTCTGACAGACTATGTCATGTTGACCACACAGATGTTTCAGCGATTTTAAGGGCCTGAACATTCAGAAGTCATCACTAGAACCAACTCATCATTTGGAATATCTAGGTCTAGTCCTGGACACAGGACAAATTATTCTGGAACTTATGGTGATTTGGCTGTCTTATTGGAGGTTCATCTGATTGGATTCAGTCAGACAATGCCAAGGTGGTGAGGTACATTAGTTACTGAGGAGGAAAATAAGTCTTGCAGTTTCGAAAGGTTAGATTCTGACCTACACAGAACTTTATATTCCAGCATTGTTAGCTTTGTACATTCCAGACAACTGACAGGTGGACTTCCTCAGTCTGCAGTGGCTGGACCTGAGGTAGTGGTCTGCATACATGGAGGTGTTCCATGAACAGTGTTAGAAATGGAGGACACAGGATGTTTACCTCTTGGCTTCTAGTTTCAACAAC